CCCGCAGCAAGTTGGCAACGTCAAAAGCGCCCGCTCAACAAGACGGATGAGAGCGACCAGGGGCGAGGCGACGAGGAAACGAAGGAGAGATGGATGGGGGGGCGGGGGGGGGGGGGGGCAGAGGTAGAAGAAGAAGGCGGGCCGGTCGGACGGCGGAGGGCGGAGGGGGAGGGCTAAGGGGGGGGGGGAAACAGCAGCAGCCGCGCCGGCGACGCCGAGAGGGGGGCAGGGCGAATGAGGAGAAGCGCAGAGGAGGGCAGGATCAAAGGGGGGGGGGGGGGGGGGCGAGGAGAGCTAGAAGGGGGGGGCGCCGGGGAGGTGGAGGGCGCGTTCTTCTGAAACTAGGGCAGAGGGAGAGGTGGGAAGTGGAGAGGCCAGCTCCAGGAGAAAGAGGACGAGGACGGGGGAGAGGAGGGCATGAGAGGGCGCGGAATGAGGATTATGAGGAGGACGGCGTGCGATGATCGAAGACCGGGGTGCGCCGCCGAGAATTAGACAGACTGGTGCAGCGAAAGCATTCACCTTCGCGCTCTATGCCGCCCGCCCCAAGTTCGCCCCCGCGCGCTCCCGTCCTCGCGCTCCACAACCGCACCGCCGCCGCGCCCATCGCGCCTAGCCCCGCCCCGCCTAGCACCCGCCCCCTGCATGTCAATGCCGCCCCCTGCATTCCAGATTCCGCCACCAACTCCCGCGCCTGGCCCGCTTGACCCCGCCGTCGCAGTCGCGGGGGCAATCGGCTCAGGATGGCGATGTCGCCGTGGTTTCCAGAGACTGAACGGACCTCCAACGCGCTTGGCCAGCAATCGCTGGATCGGGTAGCGCTTCTATGCCTCGAACCTGTCAGGAGTGGCGCGACGGCGAGCCCTGGGAGATTGTCGCGCATGTGGCCCCAGTCGCACATATCAAGATTTGGGTTCAGAGGTGCCTGTTCGCTCACCACGAGCCCGATTTGACCCGCGAGGAGAGGGGCGCGCGCCGCGAATATCGGAATTATAGGAGGCCCCGTGGGCGGCGGCGCCCTCAATCAACCCGCGCCACCTTTTGGATTGTCACCCGCGTCCCTTCGCAGTTCCAATACCAGACTGCGCGGGGCGGGGGGGCGGGGGGGGCGGCGAGGGCGGGGCGGGGGGAGGGGCTGGAAACGGACGCGGGCGATGAGGGGCGTTGCGGAGGAGAGAGGAGGATGCGGAAGAGAAGTAGTGGGGCGAGACAATGAAGACGAGCGCAATGAGGCGGACGAGAAGATATGGGACACAAGGAGGGACGAGGCGACGGAAGAGAAATCTGAGTTTGAGTGAGAGGGCGCGGAATGTGCATCGCCTGCCTCGCAACCAACATACATCTACAGAGCAGACAGCACCCGGGCGGACACATGTCTCTAAAGGCCGCGGAGGCCGCCGACATGCTCGGCTTCGCTGCGGAAGCATTGACCATGCGCGGGGGGGGGGGGGGGGGCGCGTCGCTAGGCGAGGGGATCCTCGGCGTTGGCGCAAAAATGCTAGCGCTGGTTTGCAAGCTCAAGGCTGACCCCGTCATGTCCAATGGGGCTGCAATGGCGAATCTATCGATGTACATAAACGCTCAGGCGAAATGCCGGAGGCTTTCTGGCTTGTCGCTCTGGCCCAAGAACCATGTGTTGCGCCGTGCGATCCTCGGGGCTGCACATGGGGAATGTGTGTGTGTGTGTGTGTGTGTGTGTGTGTGTGTGTGTGTGTGTGTGTGTGTGTGTGTGTGTGTGTGTGTGTGTGTGTGTGTGGTGTGTGTGTGTGTGTGTGTGTGTGTTGTGCGTTGTGGTTGTGTGTTTGTGTGTGGTTTGTGTGGTGTGCGTGTTGGTGCGCGGGGTGCGCGCGCGCGCGTTGGTCTTAGGGGGCGCGCTGGCGTGTGTGTGCGCGCGCGCGCGCGTGTGGTGGTGGTGGGGGGGGGGGGGGGGCAGCAAGCAAAACAGTCGGAGGGGTCGGGCGGCTCGAACCGACAGTCGGCGTGAATTTGCGGCGTGAGCATCGGATTCCCCGGTCCAACTTCTGCGCAGCTGGGGCACCTAGGAGAAAACCCATTCGCAAACCTCAGCGCGTTGGGGCACGCGCCCGGCGCTGAAGATGCGTGTTGCGGCACGTCGCACGACCGCGGGCGAAGCAGCAGAGGGGCGACCTGGGCGCGCGCAGCGTGGCTCAGATTTCTGAGGCCCGTGGGGGTCCCGCGGCGAAGCGCGCCTAAATTTCACAGGTGTTGCTTAGGCGAGAGCCTCGGCGGGGCTCTCCGCGACGTTGCAGCATCCTGCCGCCGCTCGACATTCAATCACCGCGCGTTTACGTTGATCGGCCTCCAGAGCCGACTGGCGACGTCGAACTCTGCGCCCCGCGGGTCGCGGACAACCCTCGCCGCGGGGGGCGCTCTTCTCCGACGCGGCGCCCCGGGAGAAGGATGGGGGGGCGGGGGCGAGCGGGGGCGGCGGGGGGGGCGAGAGGACGGGGGCTGAGGGGGAGGGGGCTGCAGGGGGGGGGGACGAGGGCAGGAGGGCGGCGAGGCGTCGGAGGATACCCTGGGGCAGGAGGGCGCGATGGCAAGGCCGCGCGATGGCAAGGGGTGGGAGAAGAGGGGGTGGGGGGCAAACGGTGTGTGTGTGGGGTGTGTGTGTGTGTTGTGTGTGGTGTCCCGTGTGTGTGGTGTGCGGCGTGAGTGCGTGCGGTGTGATGTATTGTGTTGTGTTGTTGGGTGTGTGTGGGTGTGTATGGTGTGTGTGTGTGGGTGTGCGTGAGGGAGGTTGCGGGCGTTCGTGCGATGCGTGCAGTGCGCGGGTGCGCGCTGTGCGTTGTGCGGCGTTGCGTGCTGCGCCGTGCGACAGTGCGTGGCGCGCGGGATGGTGGGGGTGGGGGGCGGGCGGGCGGGGAGGGTGGGCGGGACGGGGGCGGGGGGCGGGCGGGGGGGGGGGCAGGGGGAGAGGGGGGGCGGCACATGGTGAGGAGGGGCAAGGGGGGGGTGCAGGGGGCGGCGGGCGTGGAAGCAATATGGATTGAAAGCTCGTGAGGGGGGGGGCCGAGGCCGAAGTGCAAACTCAGAGGCGGATGGGAGGGGGGTGGGAGAGGGGAGAGGGGGGGAGAGGAGAAGAGGGGGCGGAAGCTGGCAAGGAGCGCGCATTTCGATCCAATGAGGGGCGGACCGGACCAGCTACAGATGTTCCGTGATTTCGGAGAACGGGTCCGACTGAGCGCGGGCGTTGCGCGTTTGACAGAATGCGCTGGCCCCCTCTGCTCACTCGAGAAGATGACGAAGCGGAGGCAGTGATGAGAAGGTTGATCGGGGGGAGGAGCGCGACGAAGGCGCAGGAGGATGCGACGGGGGCCTAGGGCGAGCACGGCAAGAGGGGGACGCGGCGGAGAAGAAAAAGGATGACGACGAAATAGAGGAGACTCGGCGGCGGCGGTGAGCCCAAAACCGTCCTCGCCCCCCCTCTCCCTCTTCCTCTCCCTCTCTCTC